GGTGGTTTTAAAATAAAGTTATTAAATAGAACCATTTTTTATATTACTATAATTTTGTGTAAATTCTATATATAGAAGTGTGTTAGTTAGGATTAAGCAATTATAACAATATTCAAACTTATCCGATTGTATATATTTAAAGGAGTGAGAACTACTGTGATTAAAATTATAGATCAACTCATCCACTAGGATGAACGGAACATTTTCTTAACTAATAGACCTATTATTCTTAAATCAATTAACGGAATTAACTAACCTTGTCAACTTACGAAACAGGGAGACTCTCCAAGAATGTGGTGATGTCTGGAAATGTTTTCCTGAATGGAAAGAAGAGGAAGCTCGGAAATGGCGACGTTGTAAGTACTCTTCTCTCTTTCGGACTGTAACGTTTATGTATGAGCTGAAAATTTACTTCAACGTTTGCAGGCCTATGTAACCCAAGAAGACATACTATTGGGAACTCTAACGGTGAAAGAAACCATAAGCTACTCTGCCCAGCTGCGGCTTCCGAGTTCTATGACCAAAGATGAGCTCAACAACATCGTGGAGGCAACGATTTTGGAAATGGGTCTTCAAGACTGCGCCGATCGATTGATTGGGAATTGGCATCTTCGAGGAATTAGTGGTGGGGAAAAGAAGAGATTGAGTGTTGCGGTTGAAATCCTCACACGCCCTCGTTTGCTTTTTCTTGATGAACCCACCAGCGGCCTTGACAGTGCCTCCGCGTTCTTTGTCATTCAAACTCTTAGAAATGTTGCTCGTGATGGGCGGACTGTTGTTTCTTCAATTCACCAGCCGAGTAGTGAGGTTTTTGCGCTCTTTGATGACCTTTTTTTGCTCTCTGGAGGCGAGGCTGTTTACTTTGGGGAAGCCAAAATGGCTGTACAGGTATGGGATTTCAGGTTGCAAACTTGCAGCTTCTCGCCGTCCAACTGTTTGATGAAATGTCTCACTTGTTATTTGGGTTGGTTATCTGTTTTGTAGTTCTTTGCTGAAGCTAATTTTCCTTGTCCAAGTAGAAGGAATCCATCCGATCACTTTCTTCGTTGTGTAAATTCGGATTTCGATATCGTTACAGCCACACTCAAAGGGTCTCTAAGAATTCGAGTAAGAACAAGTTTTGAATTGCAACTAAGTTCAAAAAACTACTGGTGGATTGAGTTTATACTTTTTTTTTTGCAGGATATCCCAGAATCATCAGACCCTTTCATGAATTTGGCAACAGCTCAAATCAAGTCATCGCTTGTTGAAAAATATAGGAGCTCACAGTATGCAAGTAGAGTGAAGGCAAGAATTCGAGAAATCTCCACCATTGTAAGCATGATTCTGTTACTAATCCTCAAGAGAACAAGCAATTTTTGGAACAAATTGTATGAACAGTTTCATCTTTTCCAGGAGGGACTTGAAGTTGAAGATGAAAAAGAAGGCGGAGCTAGTTGGTTCAAGCAGCTTTCGACACTGACCCGTCGATCATTTGTTAATATGTGTAGGGATGTTGGATATTATTGGCTAAGGATAATTATCTACGTGATAGTCTCCTTATGCGTCGGTACCATCTACTTCGATGTTGGAACCAGTTACACCGCAATCTTAGCTCGAGGAGCCTGCGGTGGATTTATCACTGGCTTCATGACATTTATGACTATTGGGGGCTTTCCATCCTTTACTGAGGAAATGAAGGTAAGACATCTGATATAGGAAGAGGAGGTTGGGCTGGACGTTTCTTTAGTGTTTTGAAGTTTTAGTTTCATTCTTCTGCAGATGTTTTACAGAGAAAGGCTGAATGGATACTATGGAGTTACAGTGTTTATATTGTCAAACTTCCTCTCTTCTTTACCGTTCTTGGTTTCGATTTCAATTGTTTCGGGTACCATCACTTTTTACATGGTGAAATATCGGCCGGAGTTCTCCCGCTACATGTTCTTCTGCCTTAATATTTTTGGATGCATTTCTGTAATAGAAGGGTTGATGATGGTTGTGGCTTCATTGGTTCCAAACTTCCTGATGGGAATTATAACAGGCGCTGGAATCATTGTAAGAACATTTAATAAAGCTTGCTTATAAGAATCCACAGCCTTGTTTTTCATTTTCTTTTTTCCGTTTAGGGTATCATGATGATGACCTCTGGCTTCTTCCGGTTGTTGCCTGATCTTCCAAAGCCCTTTTGGCGGTATCCAATCTCATATCTCAGTTACGGCTCTTGGGCACTACAGGTATCATCATCCATGTCCAGTCTCTTAAAGCAGCTTCCATTTCATGATGATAATTGGGTGGTTTGATTCTGCAGGGTGCTTACAAAAACGACTTGATCGGGCTCGAGTTCGAGCCAATGATACCGGGAATGCCGAAGTTGAGTGGGGAGTATGTAATCACCAACATGTATGGGATTCCATTAAGCCATTCCAAGTGGTGGGACTTAACAGGTCTCATGCTCCTTGTTCTTCTATACCGAATTCTGTTCTTTGTTGTCTTGAAATTCAAAGAAAGAGCTTCACCATTTCTGCGGACAATATTTGCAAAGAAAACTCTGAAACATCTCCAGAGAAGACCTTCCTTCCGAACAATGCCTTCTATTTCCTCTAAGAGGCACCAACCTCTTCACTCGCTTTCTTCTCAAGAAGGTCTCAACTCTCCTCTCCACTAGAAGCAGAAGCACCAAGAACGATGACTGGGGAAGCTTGTACCTATAACAATGTAACTTCTAAGAGGTATGTAGTTAGCTGCGGATCCTCATTTCAATGAAATTTCTTCGATATTTACTGAGCTTGGTTCCTTTTCAAGTTCACCATTAGCTCATATTGTCATTTTTGAGTTTTTCCCTTTAGACTTTCTCTCAAGATTTTTAGGGAACTAAGTTTCTCCAACCTTATAAAGAAAAAACAAGAATGTTTTGGGATCTCACACTTCTACTAGCTAATAACTCTTCACCCTCGAAGCCCGAATGAAACTTGAACGTTTGTCCCCTGCTATTAACTCTCACCCACTTCGCCACTTGTCAGGCGGAGAGAGATGATGCCCGATTTGCTTGATGAGAAACACACACACACACAGGCCTTGCATAGACATCTCACTTTGATGTTTTCTCCATATATGTCACTACTTATAAAGATTGTATCAACATTGAACACTTCTCTTTTTCCTGATTGATAGCAGAGGAAGTACAAAGAGAGATGGGCATGTACCATTTAGAAGGTGGAATACTACTTGGTCGTATAGAACTCTTTAGTAGTACCACAATTACACGCAGTTAGGCATGTAATTAATGCATGCACACTGAATACAGCATACTTGATATATTTAGAAAAATCACAGTTCTGATGGAATGAGATTGTACTTCTGTATTCCAACTCAATCTACACATAGCCAATGATCAACAAGAAGTAAATGAGATTGTGGAAATGGGTGTATGTGGATTGTTGGAAACTGGCATTTAGGAGGCATTAGTGGGGAAGAGAAGAAAAGATTAGGTATTGCAATGGAAATCCTCACCAGAACGATATCATACTATTGTTGTGATTCCTAATAGCCTTCTCCTTGTTCTTAACACCAGCATTACCAGAATCACCTTCATCTCCACCGCCCCCTCCTCCGCCGTGCGAAGAAAAGTTATCGCCGCCAGCACCACCCCACCGCCTGAAATAATCACCTTCATCACGGTGATGACTGAAATAAACTATTCCAATTGAAGTTAGAGAGAGAGAAAGAAGACGGGTTAGTGAAAGCGGCAAAAGTACTAATTTATACGTTTCCCTTTAATCACATCTAAAACTTCATGGGCCCAGCCCAAAAGTATCTAAATCTTCATGGGCCGAGCCCAGAAGTACTAATTTTTCATTTTTTAAAATCATAAAAAATTCAAACCTGCCCTAAAATTGAAAATAATGTCATTTCATAATTATTATTGATTTTATATGTGATAGGTAAAAACCTTGCTAATAAAGGCCTGGCATAGATTTCATTTAACTCATTTTAATCTACATTTTATTCCTAATTATTTACTTTTATTCTCTTTACCAATTATACCATGAAAAAAAAGCCATGAATCCAAACGGTTCAAAAGTTGATCCTTTATTTTTGTCAGAGTTCATAAATCATTCAACTATATATTAAAATTATGTATGTAGAGTTGGAGTCGACTTCTTCATAGTTGAAAGCCTTGCAAATCGAGCTCGAAGAGAAAGACGGAGAAAATCGAAGACATTGATGGTACAAAACTTTGTTTAGAAAAGAAGAAAGTTTCGGAGCTTACCACTTTTCACAGTTTCTTGAATATTTTTTAGGGTCTTGTTCTCGTAATACAAGAATGTATACACTCTTCTCTCATACAATAATAGATCATCGAATCAAATGGTTAACTTCAACCTAAATAAGCGAGTGATTTTTTTTTTAATAACAAATTTTTTAATAATATTCTAAATGAGGCTTGTGTCTATAAAAGTGAAGTTTGGCCCCCACACCAAATAAAAACATTATTGTGCTTTTCAAGACATTAATAATTCACAAGGTTATCCCTTTCAACCATCTTGAGAATATGGTTTTTATTTATTTATTATTATTATTATACATGCTATGTATTAAACAATGTCATAACGTCAACCATAGACTTTTCCCTCTCGATCTTTAAAATTCACTTTAATTATACAATTACATTATGCAATACTCAATCCAGTTGTCACCTCTCTCAAATGAAATAAGTGTAATATAGTGAAACACAGAATTGACTAGTAGTCTCAGTTAATACGAACATATGCTTATAAATTAAAAAATTAAAAAATTGAAGTAATTTAATTATAAGGTAGATGGATTTGATAGTTAAAGAGTGAGGTTATTTTATTTTATACTGGATAGAAGATTTATGAAATAAGAAGAGAGAGATAAAATAAAACCTAAAAATGTGATTTTGATTTTGATTTTGATCTTGATGGGATGATTGTGATAAGAGCGAGGGAGATGGACCCAACGCCTCAAACCTAATAGTATGAGAATGGAAATGGAATAATAAAAGACGGAGAAAAAAAGGAAGCAAAATGAAGGGATTGAAGCTGCAAACACATTTCATGATATTGAAGGCGCCCTTGCAAGATCAAAAACAGCGCCAAAGAAAGAAATCAGCTTCTTTATCAAAGTCACACCTGTGATTAACTGTTGAAAACCCAAAGAAATCTCTCTTCCTCTCTCTCTCTATCCGTTTCTCTCTCTTCCTTCTGTTTTTGCCTTCCAACCCAAGGAAATAACTCGGACCTCAAAATACTGTTGCCACTTTCCATTTCAATCCCATACTTACGCCGAATCCGCTATGATCGTTGTTTCTGCATTGGGTTTCAATCGGGCTGCCATTCATGGGCGGGCTCGAGGTTTGAAAGGTAACCGGTGTTCGTGAGCCTTCTAAATCCCCAGACCCATCTCTGACTCCCAGATTTATGATTCTCCAATTTGTCTGAGTTGCCAAAACCTTGCCCCTACGACATGAATTCATCAAGTTTCCACGATAATGCTTCTGGGTCTTCCAATTCTTACGATGGCTATTCGAACTTCAGTTTCGTTACGCAATCGGTTCCTCGATCCAAGTCTGGTCTTACGAGGCCGAGGATGTCAAAGGTGAGGAGGCAAACGAATACCCAGGATTTGAGGTCTGCGGCGGTCCCGGAAACGTATCGACCCTCCACCGGGAATTCATTTCCGGCCTCAATTTGGGGTCAGGATTCTGTCTCCGGCAAATCTGGGTCGGGTGGGATTGGGAATCAGCCATTTGTATTTGGAGAAAATAGGAGCACCACCAGCTCGAATTTGGAGAGATCAGAGAGAGGAGTTCTTGATGGAATGAAGAAATTGAATATCGAAAGCGTGGATGAGTTTTCGATTGCCAGAGATGGGAAATTCAGCTTTAATGGTGGCAATAGAAGTTCGAGTAAAACTGAGGTTTTTGATAAAGGAGGCGATGAAGCCATTGAATCAAAGCTTCCGGATGACATGAGGAAATTGAACATTGAAGAAGGGCAAGGTAATGCTGCACGAATTGACAAAACTATAAATGAAAGTTCGAGGTTTAGATCAAATGAACAGGCTAAATTTGGTTTGTGGAGCAGTAATGTTGTTCATCCTCTAGTTTCAGAACTCCCCAACAAGTTGCAGCATTTGAACATTGAAGATAGTGGGCATCATGATAGCGGCAGTGCTGCATTTACATCTGAGGGTGCGGATACGTTCGGATTGGACAAGGGTAAGGGTGTTACAAGCTCAGCAGATTCTCTTCCCGAGAAGATAAAAGGTTTGAGCATAAGGGGCACATCTAATTCAGCAAATATCAACACCCAAGGGACTGGTGGTAATTTTGTTGAGCAAAAGGATACAATGTTGTCAAGAAAGATGGAGGAGTTGAAACTAGATAAAAGGACACCTTCATCTGGAGTAACTGCAGAGAAGACAGAAATGCAAAATTTTAGTGATTTTGACCGAAATCTTGATCAACCATTGGCCACGGACATTAAATCTCAGAAGTTGCAGGAGTCTAAGGACATGGGAGGTGGTCAGGTTTCTTCATATGCACAAAATGATGGTAATGATCAAAATGGTGTCGCTATGCCGCCTTCTTCAATTTTTTACAATGATATGCAACCTGTTGGTAGTACATTTCAAGTGACTGATACAAACAGAAACAAAGAAACAGATTACTTTCGCTCTATGAATAAACAAGAAAATACCGGATCGGCTTTTGTAGAATTTAAAACACCAGATGTCAAAGCAAACATTTTTTCTGCTGGAATCAGTCCAAACTTTCAATTCAATGCACAGAGGGATCCAATTAGAGAATTTGGACCGAATAGTAGGAGTGGAAGGTATAATCCTACCGCGGCACAGTTGCGTGTTGATCAGGGGACTCATGATTTTGGTTTAAGGGAAGGGGATCCCCTGGTGAGTTACAAGGCGTCTGAGCCCTATTCACCAATGGACGTTTCACCATACGAGGAAACACTAGCTGCTGATCCAATCTCTCGTGAAAATTCCGTGACATCCAATGAATCACTCAATCTTGACAACAACTCCATTGTATTTGACGAGTCAATCCCTGAAGTCTTAAATGATACTATAGATGAAGATCTGCTTAATGCTACAGAAAGCTTAAATATAAGTGAAGCTAGTTTGGGTGCAACTGAAATAGAAGAAGATGAAGGCTCTATTTACCATTCTCATGCAAACCATGGTGCTGAAGCTCCTCTAGAGGAATCTGTTTCAGTTGCGGATACCGAAAGCTACAAATCTGCAAATGAAGAGTTGGATTTTAGTGCTGATCGAGCAGCTATTTCAGAAGAAACAGAAGTCAGTTCGAGTTTGAAATTTGAGAGGCAGGATAGTGATGGCCGGAAGCAATTTAGTTTTTCTTCAAATTCAGAGGATGCATCCAGGTCAAACTTTATATTTGCTGCCTCCTCTGCTGCCCAAAGTCAATTATCTGCATCCAAGCGCCACTACAAAAAGAAAAGTTGGGGAAAAGTTGGTCAAGAGTCTCATATTTCCTCAACAATTGCCATTGAAGTTCCGTTGTCATCTTCTTCTGCGCAATTTGTTACATTTACGGGAAATTCATCACCAATACCGGCTCAAAGGAGTCAGAAAGGAGATCCATCTATGGCTCAGTGCAAATATGGAGCTGACTCTTGGGTGAACAAAGACCAGGAGATGAAACAAGAGTCCGTTTCTACTATAGCAGCAACAGTTGCTGCCCAGGAGGCTTGTGAAAAGTGGAGATTGAGGTTAGTGTTTTGGTACTTATGATTGTTCTTGCCATAGATACCCTATAAGGTGTGTTCTTTGGAATTTTTCATTCCAACTAGGTGATTATCGTTTCTCTTTTGTTTACTTGACATTTTACAGAGGGAACCAGGCATATGCAAGTGGTGATTTATCTAAGGCTGAGGACCATTACACTCAAGGGGTGAATTGTATTTCAAGAGATGAGTCGTCTAGAAGCAGTCTCAGGGCTTTGATGCTTTGTTATAGCAATCGTGCAGCAACTAGAATGTCTCTTGGAAGATTGAGAGATGCAATCAGTGACTGTACAATGGCTGCTGCTATAGATCCTGGCTTTTATAAAGTGTACCTTAGAGCTGCAAAGTAAGATCTCACTGTTTCTTTATTGTATCTTTCGAGGCCTGTCTAACTCCGAGTTTGATACACACATATGCACTTGTCCGTAACTCTTTAAGATTACTTTGTTGACTTGCTATATTGAGTTAAAGTAATATTTTCGTACCAATAGTTAGTTGCTGAAGCATTTTTATAACTGTATATCCAGTGCCTGTGTGTTTATTTAGCTGCAATTATATACATCTCGGGTGCCTACTATATGCAATGATTTGATAATGATAGCAGCTGGTTTGAATATGGTAGTTTTCCATGGAACATAACTTATCTTATCAAAGTGACAAGTGAATTTTGTGGCCTTTGACTTATGGCAAGCCAGGGTGTGTGCTTTGATGTGAGGCCTTTGGGGGAGAGGAACAATAGCATTTTTCAAGGAAGTGGAGAGGGATAATAATGATGTGTCATCCCTTGTTAGGTCTTATTTTGCATGGTCGGTGCCCCTTTGTTTAGAGGTGTTCCCTTTTGTGGGCTTAGTTTTTTTCATGCCCTTGTATTCTTTTATTTTTTCAATGAAAGTTGGCTTTTCATCCCCCCAAAAAAAAGTAAAGTGTCCGAATTTATAATAATTTAGCATTGGAAAACTTTATTTAATATCCTTAGTAGGTGCATTAAGATTTTAACACCTGACCTCAAAATGCATTTGAGTTTACAGCTTGCCTTTTTTACCATTGGACCATCGATGTAGGAGGCTATACCTACTCACTAATAGAATAAAAAAAAAAAAAAAGTACTAGACCAACAGAGAACATATAAGACATATAAAAGAATAATTTTGTTTCTCCTACCATCATGTGTTCTGGTCGACCAGGAATGATTTGCAAGCGATTCTTTTTGTGTAGACCAGAACGTTTTAAAATAGCTGATTCTGGTTGTGCTTGGTTGCCGTACATATTCTCAGTAGTGGATAGTTTCTTGTATAGAAATGTTTGTTGACTTTTTATGGATGGAACTATGTGTTAAAGTAGATATTGAATTATGTTCATAACATATCGCTGAAGTACTATCTTATAAATTAGCTGTTTCCTTGGCCTTGGGGAAGTTGAGAATGCATTACAATATTTCACGAGATGCCTGCAGCCTGGAAATGTGGACCGAAAAATTGTAGTGGAAGCATCTGATGGTTTGCAAAATGCTCAGGTAACAAATTTCTTTCTAGGATATGATATCTTAATCTTTTTAGTTTTTGACGTGTATATTAACATCACTAGTGGAAGCCTAGTTTGTGCAATGATTATAAAAGCAGTGAATATTCTAGCCATGAGGAGTGTTGGAACTCAATTATCTCTTTGCTTCCACATGATGTTCTCTGTCCCTTATTTTTTGTTATTATGACCAATTCGGCTTCTTTTTTGTCACGCTTAGGCCTTATTGGAATATCTCATCTCCTTATTCTTTGTATGATCTTTCTCTCAATATAGTATACAGTTTCTTGTAAATAAATAAATAAATAAACCAATGAATATTTTCATACTTCTTATTCTCAAGTTTACAGATAATATACTTTATGCCAATACTCTTCGGCTAATGAATATCGGGTTTGGTGGGTTACTCGTTACTTTTTCCTTCACCCATTGAGAAATTGGAAGATTCGAGTACTAGTTTATTTCTTGAAAAAAGTTAATACATCGTAACACTTCCTATTGTCGCCCCAATTTTTCTAACTTATCATCGTGAACAGCGTGTTAAATTGAAGCTCTACATATTTTTACGATCTTTTTGTTTATTATGATAGAGACAAACTTCTTGAGGGAGGTATATGTGGTTTTTTCCAAAATTTAGGTTAGGTTAGGTTTTAGGTTTAGTTGATCAGTCACTTTTAATAGGTGTAACTAAGTTTTTTTATATGTCCAGTCTTATTATTTCTACTGGCTTGCAGAAAGTGTCTGAATGCATGAAACGTTTAGCTGAACTTCAGCTAAGAAGCACATCCAGTGATATGCAGAGTGCTCTGGAATTAATTTCTGATGCTTTGGTAATAAGCTCATGCTCAGAAAAATTGCTTGAAATGAAAGCAGAGGCTCTTTTCGTGGTTTGTTGCACATCCCTATTGTTATTGTTGTGTTCTCTCTCTCTCTCATTTTTTCCCATTTCCCCTTCGTTTTTTTTGGGAGATTATATGGAATTTTACTTCAAGTAAACTTTCATTTTCATCCGAGAGGCTCTGATCTTCATGCAGCATGACTATATTCTGTTTGTTTTTTTTCCCAAAAAAAAAAAAAAATGTGCAGCTTCGAAGATATGAGGAGGTGATTCAGCTTTGTGAGCAGACCCTAGATTCTGCCGAAAAAAATTGTCCTTCAGAAGATATTGTCAGCCAGACCTCTAATCTGGATGCTTCTGAAATTTCAAAGAAGTTTTACTTTAGGATTTGGCGATGCCGCTTGACACTCAAGTCCTACTTCCTTCTGGGAAAGCTTGAGGAGGGTCTGGCTTCTTTAGAAATGCAAGAGGAGAAAGCGTCTACAATGATCGGGTAATTTGTTATGCTTCCGAACATTACTATACTAGATTTCAAAATCTCTTCTTTTCAGCTGGAAAACAGATAAAAAAAAAAAAGTAAACTGCAAAGAAGATTAATTAGAGAGGAAAAAGATTATTTTCATTATCTGAAAATGGAATTGTGGGGCTTTCCCGGTTTGATAATTTGAAGTTCCAGGAATGGAAGAAAGTTTTTGGAGTCATCAATACCACTAGCCACTACCATGAGGGAGCTCCTACGTCACAAGGTATCCCAAGTCAATTGCTTTCTATATGTGCATTACTATTTCAAATCTCTCCATTCTATTAGCCATAACTCGATCATATTCATATATCATTTTCCAATGCTGTTCATTTCAACGATCCTTCGGATTTTCATAGAGACCATATTCTATTCAAGTTTGAACTCTTCATGATATGTGAATTACCGATTCTATATTTACTATGTGCCTTCTTGGAAATCCATGTAAAAAGAGAAGATGATTCTGGTGAAATTGAAATTCTACTAGGCAGCAACAAACGTCTCTGTCGGCGTGATTTTGGTCCGTGAAGGAAATAAAATATCTTTGTGCAAGTAAATACGAAGTACGAAGTTTAGACAATTCAACACTTATTTTTCCTTTCTTGGAAATGAGAAAAGATGAGAAATTAGCCCAGCTCGCAAGGGCTTACACAAATTCTTCATTTGGCTTTAGTTAAAGAAAAAACCGGAGTAAAAAGTTATGTAAAGTGTTCCAAAGGGAAGCATTGAAAGTCAATCCCAAACCTCATTTTTTCCGGCTTATCACGAAATTCTTTGGTTTCTTTCCCACCAGACTTCTCAAAGAAGTCACTTCATAGCAAATTCAATAGCACCTTTCCCTTTAGATGGACAGGGCTGCCAATCAAAACTTGCTCCATCTGGCAAAACTTTACGCGCATGGTTTTTCCTTTGAAGCAGGAAGCCTCACAATGATCTCCTCTTTTCTCATATATGAGTACAAGCTTGATGATGGTTGTAGTACTATGTTTTGGAAAGACATTTGGGTGGGGCAATCACCTTTATCAGAATCATTTCCCAGACTGTTTGGCCTTTCTGTTTCAAAGGAAGCTTCTGTGGCTGATCACTGGAACCATAAATTGGTATCATGGGCTATGGATTTTAGAAGAAACTTTAAAGAAGAGGAAGTCACACAATGGGCTGCCCTGATTTCCATCTTATCATCTGAACAGTTTAATTCCAGCTAGGTTAAATGGCTTTGGGGGTTGGAGAAATCTGGGTTTCTCCACAAATATTTTTTACTGTCATATTTGCATTGATTCGTTATTGTAAATACTCCATATCAATTTAGCTGAGAGGACATCTTATCTCCATAGTCCTTACCCCCACTAAATGACTGCAGGCTGCTGGGAATGAAGCATTTCAGGCAGGGAGGTATTCAGAAGCCGTTGAACACTATACAGCTGCTTTGTCATGCAATGTTGAGTCACGTCCTTTCACAGCTGTTTGTTTCTGCAATCGGGCTGCTGCATATAAAGCTCAAGGCCAAGTTATTGATGCTATTGCCGATTGTAGTCTTGCCATAGCCCTTGATGAAGAATATTTCAAGGTAACTTTTCTTTTACTTTATTATTAAAATTTCTATAAATACTACGAACCCAGCTGTCAGAACTTATCTAGATGGTGCATTAGAATAGACATTTGATTCAAATATAATTCCACTTGGTAAAAATGGTTGAATTTAGTTTGGTAATATTGCGTGGGCTTAGTGGTGGAATTTTCCTCATACATACTAGCTTTCAAAATAAACGTTCACTTTTATTGCACTCCATTGAATGGTATGACCAGAATTTATAGTGTGCTTGTATTGATTGTGATGGAAGAAAAGCAGGTCGGGTACTAGGGGGACTTTCTTTTAAGGAAAGGACTTCTTGGTCTTGCATCCAACTTTCTTGTAAAGTAGGTATTGTTGACTGTCGCATTTGAATTTAGAAGAAATTTATGAACAAAGTATGTTTTAGTATCAATATCTCAAAGGCATGTCCTGAAATGGAGTAAACATTATACTTCAATGTCTTAAGAAGCTAAAATTTTAAATTTGATCCTTTTAGTTGAGCTAGAATTGGGATGCGTAAAGCTTAACCTGATGCAGAAAAATATAATTGCAATAGGTGGAAATGAAATGCTCGTTCAAGTGCAACTTTTTTTTGTAAACCCCCGCAGTGCTCCATAAAAAATGCTCAGTGTTTTAAGGATATTGATATATTATCTGGCGATCATATAATTCTTGTGTTCAGTTAACAGGTTACCTTTTTCTGTTTGGTATAAATAGAAAACAAAGAACAAATACCAGCAGTTTTTAATGTTGAAGTCAATACCAAATAATTTTAGGAATATCTAAATATAATTTTTCAAAAGACAAAAAATCCTAAGTATCCCCTAATTCTTCTTGGTTTACCCGAAGAAAAATTAAAATGCCACTGTAATGAGCACTAGCATGAATCTTAACATGTTTTGATTGAGCTTTTATATACACAGGCAATTTCTAGACGGGCCACTTTGTATGAAATGATTAGAGACTATGGTCAAGCAGCTAATGATCTCCAAAAGCTTGTATCACTTTTGTCGAAGGAATTAGAGAAGACCTATAAGTATGCGTCTTCTGATAGATCGAGTACCAGTACAAATGATTTGAGACAAGCTCATCAACAGCTTGCAGAAGTTGAAGAAGAATCAAGAAAGGAAATTCCATTGGACATGTACCTAATTCTGTAAGTATCATCCATCATTTAACAAGTTTGTTAAGAAAGAGCTGGCTTTCTTTGAGATGTTGCATTTGGCAGTGAAAATCGTGGTTTAGATTTGAAGTTTGTGGATTAATCTATTAGAATATTTCCAACTTTTGAGTATTAAAATAAATTGTTTTTTCAATCAATGCAACGGTTGTAATTTTATAATTCAATACAAAGATTCAAATGCTAAAACAAAACTAAGAGACCCCTCTTTCCCTTTCCATTTGAGTTATCAAATTGATGTTATACTGAACACGATGTTCATATAAACACCTATTCATGTTCTTCCCTTCCCCCTTTCCGGATCCATTTCATTCTGTCAGTCTTCGTATATTTTTTTTTGTCTGCTGGGGATAGTAATCCTTTGTGCGTTACATGAGATAGCACGGTGCTTATGAAATGGGGTCAAGGGTCTAAGAAGATCCCACGTTGTGAACTACGGTGGGTGATTTAAGCACCCGTGCAATAATATTTATTAGTTGTCCTCCGCTTTATGCAGTTGTCAATAATATTTATTTAATTGACAACTACATTTGTTCAGGACAGTTCAGCTCAAAACATTAGAGGAACCTTCACTGTTGTTTGTGGGTGGTTTAAGATATTGCATCTAAAACGTAGCAGTAGGATGATAAATTTTAGAGAGGTCCTTTTAATTTCAGGTTATGAGAATCACTAGTAATTTTTCTTTGATGGCAGGGGAGTTGATCCATCTGCATCTTCCGCTGAAATTAAGAAGGCATACAGGAAAGCTGCTCTCAGATACCATCCAGACAAGGTTTAATTTTGTCTACTTCTTTGATATGCTTATTTGTTTCCTGTGTTTTCTTAATATTCGTTGCTCATTTGTTTAGGCTGGCCAATCCTTGGCTAGAGCAGACAATGGCGATAATGTGCTATGGAAGGATATAGCTGGAGGAGTCCACCAGGATGCTGATAAACTTTTTAAAATGATTGGAGAGGCATATGCAGTACTCTCGGATCCTATTAAGGTAACTGAAAGGTTCCTATCATCACTTCTGGCCAGTTGGGATAGTTTTTTTTTTAACTTCTTTTGGAAGGTTCTTCCCCAACTTTTGTATAGAAATTGGTTTCTTGCTCTTCATGGACATCTCTAGTTTTACACAAGCCAATCTCACATATCATGCTAGGCTATGCTTTTTTTTATTTTACTTCTAGGTAATACAGCTCTATACATTTTATCAGATGATAATAGCCTTAAAGGTAAAACCGATCTGTTTTTTCAGCGCTCCCGATATGATGCGGAAGAAGAGATGAGGACTGCCCAGAAGAAACGCAATGGAAGCAGCACCCCTAGATCTCATACAGATGTTCATCAAAGTCATCAATTTGAAAGAAATAGTGCTAGGCCTCAGTGGCGAGATCTATGGAGATCTTATGGTTCTCGAGGATCAGAATTTACTCGATCAACCAGGTATTCGTAAGAACTCTTTGCCAACATGCCATGATGGAATGAGGTTTTACACTAGAGCTCATCAAATAAATGATCTTTCCATCAAGAAATCCTGCAGCGGTTTGACCCCTCATAGTGAGACTGGCCAAAAGTTGACAATGGCTTCATGGGGGTCCCTGATGGCTAAATCTTGAAAAAGAGGTCGAGGTCTGACCCTTAACACACCAACCTTGATGCCATAAGGGAAGTAAAATGGTGTTCCAGTTTTTCATTTCCATCTAGTAGCTTGTCCATACAATTGAGTGAGGTTTGGTGATCTTATAGGCGACAGATTTGATTATAGAGTGAAAAAAAAAAAAAAACAAAAGGACCAAAAAAGAAAAATATTCCCTTTTAAAACAAAACAAAACAAAATGAAGGATGATGATTTGCAGCTTTCCAAGGTTTTCCTTTCCTTTGAACAATATTTTCTGCTCATCTTTTCTGGGGATCCCATGGTGGGTTAGTTGTTCGTAGTGGCATGTACAGACAGAAGAGATGGGTAAACAAGTGTGTTACAACTTACACCATCTAATGGCTGTGGCTGAGTCTCTAACAGCATTCTAACACAAGAAAGAAGGATAATTCTTACAGTTTAGAGCTTCAACAATGTGGTAATTACCATTTCTACTTCTGCGTAACGTTTTTGTGTGTTTCTTCATGTACCCTCTTCTTTTTTACACTCAATGTCAAGTTTTAATCTGTTGTGGGTGACTACCAGTCCAGATCTTCATGCTGATGACTGTATGTGGCCTTTTTTCTTTTTTCTTTTTTTTTCTCCTTCTTTTAGTTGTTTAAAGAGTGATGTATTCTGAAAAATGAAAGAAAAAAAAGAAAAGAAAAACAGAACTTATAGACTGTCTGTGAACACCATTGACATGACATGGGTGCTTCATTTTGTAAATGGTTTTTTGGAATGAAGTTTTATGAATACCAATTTTGTGTTTGATAGATTTTAGTTTGGAAACATACATTATGAAGATAATTATGTGTTGAAGCAAAGTTTATATGTCAAACAAGTTGTTTTTCAGGTTCTTAAACTACGTGTTGGCAATATTCTACTTGATTCAGGATCAGGGTGTAATCCTTTTGCTTCCAATCTATATACTTCAATTTTTTTTTTTTTTTTAAAGTATTGAAGCTTGAGGCTTGGTTTGAATTGACTTTCTACGTGTTTAAACACTTTTTTTACTTAAAAAGTCATTCATTGTGAACTTCTACAAATATTTTTTACTTAAAAAGTCATTCTTTGAGAACTTCTATAAATACGTCGTTCCTCTCACCGTGACTTCGATCATAACTAACAAATAAAAATGAAGTTTCCTCACCGTGACTTCCATCATAGCTAACAAATAAAAATGAAGTTTCACTTGTCAACAAAGTTTGGTCATTGTTTTCTTGAAACAAATGTCGATACTTTTTAAGAAACAAAGAAGAGAATGGGAGATTATTCATGTTTTGATACTTTTTAAGAAACAAAGAAGAGAATGGGAGATTATTCATGTTTTCATTGCGCAAAATAATTTTCTAGAAACAAAAACAGAGAAATCGTACTATATATAAATTACATGAATTTCCTTCTCATCATCTGCCATCCACAAAGCAGCTTGATCTTATCAAATTAGACCCAGAAAAGGAGCATACTCCATAAATCAACTTCTTCCAATACCTGTAAATCAGAATCAAATTACGGAACGGTTGATCAAGCCAAGTCAACCCATTACATTTTGAGTTTGGAATTACTCCCCACAAAAAACACTTTTCAGTGAACAACTAGTTATATGCTTGAAGCACTTCTAGTATTTTTTTAGTGCTTTTAAATTTTTTTAAATACATTTGATTATTTAGTCCAAACCCTTGAAATTTTAGGGAAGTGCTTTTAACAGGCTGAAATAACTATTCACCATAGAAAATACTATCCCAAACTCACTTTTACGTAGAGATGACACCATCAATTGGGTGCAAACCCAGGAAGTTGACAAACGAAAATTCAGTATTATGGAGGAACATCAGACATATATTCCTAAACCAAGTTCTTTGGGCTCTGTTTCAACCATCCATGGAGGCCTGTTAAGATTTAAAAAGGTGATTATGATAATAGCAAGCTGGAGTACTAATCAGGAGATACATGTGTACTGATTGGAATCGGCTAGATTCATCTTACTTGTTCATCACAAAATTGATTGTCCCGTGGGCAGCACGTCTTAGAAGAACTTCCCTCGCCTCAACTGCTATTCCTTCAGGCTATATGAGGATGTGATTAAACTTAAAGCCAACGACAAACTTTCAGTGTAAATATTTCAGACACTGTATATACCTCTTCAGGAAACCAAACTCCAGGTTGTGTGCTTCCCTCCAGAACAGCAATAGCGAATGCAGCTGTTGAATATCCCACTGATCTGAAAAAGTTCCAATATAACACAAAATGTGAAGATTGCATATAGACAACTGGAAGTTGAATGAGAACATCTCTTAAGGAGGAGGAGAATAAGTAGAGAGGAGGGGTGAAGCCCTTACTGGGAAAGCCTCCGATGACTGAAAATCCCCACTGTGTTTTGCCCATTCGAACACTCCAAATCAACCTACATAAAAAGAGCAAGTGTTGGGAAACTTTTTCTACACAAGTAGGTTCAGACATCATAAGAAATTTGGTGCCTCACCCTCATGGATACACGCTCTCCAGCAAGACCATCAAATGCTCGAACAAAAGGATCAAACAGTTGAACCAAATTCTGAACTTTGCTTCTATCTCTAAAATATTCCTGCATCATTTAGTCAATCTTCGATTGATACAGGAACCCGTGTTCATTGTACGTGATGTTTCATTGGAGAGGTAAGTTGTAAATCTTTTTGGTTCTTGATAATTTATTTAGAAAACTTTCCAAATTCTCGCACAATGGCATGCATCGAAATGTAAGGCAGCCATTGTACGATCGCAGGAAAAACTTCCTTTTGGGTTAACTTCTGACATAGAATTTGTGATAAAAATAGATAATTCAACTCGTACCATAGGAAGAAGATTAGTCAATGCCAACATTCCCCAATTCCAAAAAAATGGCGCAGTTCCAAAACGAGCACTAACTGACGGCACTCCCAGGATCTCATGTGCAGTTCTTACCTCTGGCAAATTCCTGAAAGAAATATGTTTTTACTCAGGATGCAGCTTAAATGTTTCAAAGCAAAGAAGTTAAATTGTCCCACAAAGTGACGTCTAGTGCATGAAGTATTTCACCAAAAGAGCAAGCAAAAACTTCAATCCTTAAGTTGATAAAAGAAATGGAAGGCTATGAATAATATTCAGTTAACCACAACTTGAAACCATCGGCTTAATTTATAAGAGTTCTGTATATATGGACTTAGCCAGGATACATCACCGAACATATATGTGAAATGTGAATAATATCCGCCTCCAAGATTTAGATAATGGATTCCTAAGACAGTTTGAACTATAAAAGCATGTAGACTGTCCAAGACGTTGAGGATTGTTGGGAGGGAGTCTCACCTTCGCTAATTTAGGAAATAATCATGGGTAATGAAATAATCATGGGTTGAGTTTATAAGTAAGGAATACATCTCCATTGATATGAGGCGGAAGCCCAAAACAAAGCCATGAGAGCTTATGCTCAAATGAAGAGAAGTAATGCCTTCCTAACACAAGAGACTTCCTATGATTGGTTTAAAGTAAATCACTATATACGTGTGAAACATTGCACGATGAATGCTTTGCTACATAGAATTAACTTACAGCAGAAATACATCTTTCTTCCCAATTCCTTTTCCGAAGTCAATGTTGAGCATTCCACTATAAGGTTTTAGTTTGAGCTTTTCCCCTGCTTCCAAGGTCATGTGTGGTGCATCAGTTGCCACCCAGAATACGATACATAATCGGCATATTGTATAGACAAGCACAGAAGTCTCAGTCGACACTGACCTTTATTATAGGCGACCACCTCCTCTCCCAGCAGTAAGAAACTGGTAGCTAATATAGTTGGGCCAGCACCACCAGTGCCTGCAGTGTAGTAGTAGAATCTGAGACAAGAATTTACATTTAGTTGCTGAAGAAATTGCATCCCATCAATTTTTAGATTGTGTTATACGAACGACTTCAAAGTTTTCTAGCTTAACAGAAGGTTGTGCTGAAATGAACTTGCGGAGAAAGATGACACTAAGATTCTAAACGTAATCCCCAATTAGAACATCGCCAAAACATTTTTCAATCGTCCCAAATCATGCAAAAATTGAAATCTTTTGATCTGGTTTTCTTCCATATTCATACAAAATCTTCACACTATGGAAACTTCTCAAAAGGAATCCATAGATCTATGAGAAATGATACCAAATGAACAAAAGATAATAAATGTTTATTCCGCTGTGGTCAATGGGATTTGTTTACCACCTTAGGTACCAATGCAATATTGAATTATAATGATGGGGAAAAGCATGCTTTATCAGTCATGAGGCTTCTTGATCAGTCGCAAGATTATCAGGGACTTCACCTTAGCCTCTCGGGCTCACACTTGCTTTCATCTCTCGCAACACGTACAAGCTCTGCTGCCATTACTGGCATGGTACAATAGGAAATACTCAGTCAGACGAAAATCTTGACTAGAATATATCCATTGAAAACTACACTTCGACCTATAAACACTTGCCCATTAGTTCAGGTCCAGTGGATTGGTTGAAACGGTGCATTACATTTGGGAACTTTGCATAATCACATATTAAGAACTATCCAAATTGGAGTGCACAATAAGAACATGGATATTATGTACCGTTGCTCACTCCAGGATAAATGCCAGCAGTTGTAATAGCTGGAATATTTGCTTCTATAGCTTTATTCTTGAAAGATTTTGCATTCTGTGAATAGTTTGAATCATCACAGACATCAACGTAGGCTGTCTGCAGAAGCAGGTAGACAAAGAATTTCATCAATATATGAGCATAAAAGTGAGATTTTTAATGCAAATGCAGCCCTTTCCTTGGTATTTATGGAAGCTTCAAGTACAGTGCACTTCTCCGTCTGTTGGAAAGGGCCAGCCGTATGAACTACAAGATCAACATCTGTAGTGACAGCTACGGATGTCAGTTAAGCGCCCTTGGTGGCCAAAATGTTAAGACATTTAAACGCAATTGGTTTAGGGTGCAAGGTTTTCATGTGTTTTGATCCAGACAGACATATGATAAATCAAGATATCTGCAACTATACAAAAGGGGAAAATATGTATACATAATAACTTCATTTTAATGTTCTTAGACCGCAAGAAAATCGGTTACCAACATTGGGAGGTTCATATTTCACACGCGAAATGGATGAAATTGGAAAAGAAATAGAGCCAAAGACTAACGTTAATGTAACAACTTAGCCCACCACTAGTAGATATTGTCTTCTTTGGGCATTTCCTTCGAGGGCTTCCCCTCAAGGTTTTAAAACACGTCTCCTAGGGAGAGGTTTCCACACCCTTATAAGGAATGTTTCGTTCCCCTCTCTAACTGATGTGAGGTCTCACAATTCACTCCCCTTGGGCTCAGCATTACCGTCCAGTGTCTAGCTCTGATAACATTTGTAACAACCCAAGCCTACGCCCAAAGAGAACAAGATCTGCTAGCGATGGACTTAGGCTGTTACCAATGGTATCAGAGCTAGACACTAGGTTGTATACCAGCAAGGATGCTAGGTCTCCAAGGACAGTGGATGGTAAGATCCCACGTCGGTTGGAGAAGAGAACGCAACATTCTTTATAATGATGTGGAAACCTTTCTCTAATAGACGCGTTTTGAAATCGTTAGAATGATAGTGAAACGTAACGGGCCAAAACGGACAATATTTGCTAGTGGTGAGCTTGTACGGTTAAAAATTGTAAATTATCAGAAGAATCAGTATACCTCTCAAAGCAGCCTCCAACATTTTAGCATTCTCAACATCGACTTCCACAAACCGAGAGTTT